CTGCAGGACCCGCCCGCGCCACGGCCGCTTACCGCAGCAAGTGTTCCACGCCGACCTCCTCGGCCTCCTCGGCCCCGATCTCGCTCGTCACGTGCTCGAACGTCTTGGAGGTGGGGGTGCCGTCCTTGGAGGAGCAAGGACAGAGACGCCGTCAGGCGGAGCCCAGCCCTCGGAGTGCAGCCAGCTCCCCAGGGCAGGCGCCAGCGGTGGGACAACCCGCACGATGCCGCGGGCAAGATTAACTGACCCCGTGTGCAGGGCCAGGGAGAGGCGATGGGGCAAATTATGGCAAATCAGGGGACTTTGGTATGCAGCTAAGGGGGGGAGTGTGTAAGTGAATCACAACGACCTTTAAAACCAGGGGATTTTACAGAGTGTGAGAAACCCTGGTGCTGCAATGAGCAAAGCTGCATAGTAAGGTCGGTACTCTCAGAAATTCAGCCTGGGAATGTTGTGAACCAGTTTTACCCATGTTTTCAAAACCACCACCTGGACCTCTACAGAGTAAAGCAGCAAGCCCCACTAGGCCTGCTGTGAACTCACAGAACTAAAACCAAATCCTGCAGGTACAAGATCTACAATACTAGGGAGCAGCTTCTTCTCTACAGTGGGGGCCTCAGAAAAGCAAAAGGATCGAACTTTTTATACACATCCAGAACATAATTAAAATCAAACAATTGCAAATGAGAAGCTAAAACAGACATCCTACTGCACGTTGTTTGTCCGCACAGTGTGGCAAATGATTACTAAGTGTTGCTCACAGCTGACCTACCTACTCAGCACTGGCAGGTCACAAATAAGTACAAAATTACTCAGAGCACCTCTGCAAACAGGCTGTGTGTAGAAGTGACCTTCAAGTGCTCCCATCTAGGACTTCATGGTCAAAGACATGACACAAACAGGTAAGAAGCATCTAAATCATACAGAGCTGTGGAATTCCTCAGGTCAAACAGTAACACGCAGCTTTTCTTCCAACAGCATCACTGGTTGAAAGCTTTAGTTACAGATGCTTAGATTATGACTGGGATTTAACCTCTGGCCTCAGCAGGTTTTGGCTGGAGGTCACAGGCTCTCTAGCAAGTGCAACATCCCATATGTAAAGGGCAACCATGGGCTGTGCATCCTTCAGAAAAGAGAGGAATCCTACTGGCTGCCTTTTAGTGGAAATCCTTTTCCTAGGAAAAGGCAGAGAGAAGTGTTAAATACTCACATCGTGAACTTCTTCAACTGAAATATAAGCTTCTGTGGGCAGCCCCAAGTCCTTTGGCTTCACATCAATAATCACCAAGACCTTACAGAAGAAGCAAACATTTCAAAACACCGCCTTTCGTTCAAAGGCTAGAAAAAAATCCCCAGGCCAGCTCCTCCCCAGGGCAGCGCTACACTGGCTGCTCAGAGGAGTTCACCTCAGGCACTGAGAAAAGACACACAGAGCTGTTTCAAAAGGCTGGGATCTGAGCTTCCCAACCACTTCACAGCTACCAGGTCTGCAGCATGCTCTATCACCAGCAACAAAGGTAGGGGCCAAGGGTTCCCAGATGCCCATTTAAGACCAAAGAGGGAAAAACTCAACCCAAAAAAGCACAGCACTTACAGAGTTAGGACAGTATCTTTTCATCAGTTCGTTGATGGCGATGTCATTCTTGTGTAGTTTAGGGCCTGTGTGGTACCAACCAACTATTCTTTCTCTAGCTGAGCAAAACCAAAAAAAGATTCCAAATCAGGCTTGCATGGTGAAAAAACAGCAAAAAGATTTAGGCAGAGACTGAATGAGCAAACCAAGGGTGAAAACCTGATGTGCGTAGGAGACAAGTGTAAAGTAGGGGGAATTGCAGTAGGTGAGATGGTGACATGGCCTGTGACAAAGAGGTGGGCTAAAATTCATACTTATTGAAGAGTACTAATTGCTTATACTCCTAGGTTCCTAACTAAACTGGACTATTTCATACCATTCATTTTTTCTGCAGGTATCAGCACCTGACAGCTTGAAAAAGACATCTAGAGCTGCAAAAACCCTGGAATGTGAACTGAGAATGACAGCTGGTCCCAGGGCTAAGAAAGCTCACAGGAATCACAGTTTTGGCTGAATGTTCAGCTCTGGAATCTCAAACGGGGCAGTAAAGATGCTTTTTAAAAAAGCAGTGGAGAGCAATTAGAATCATTACATACAAAATGTGAGTTTGCAGTGTCTGCATTCATAAAAAAATAATTTCAGGGCACAACTGTGAGAATGGGTTACAGACAAAGCAGCTTTGAATCTTCAGAAATAACAGCATTTTTAAAATCTGAAGTATTCTGAAGATACAGAACTGTCAGGAGACTTGGGAAAACCAGTGAGGTATAAATTAATCTATTGAGAACGACTTGCTCAAATTAACTCATGGAAAACTGTCAGTGGAAGCGAAGCCACGCCAGGAATTAGCATGGAGTGGCTTCTTAGGTGAGCAATTAACTCTCTGCCTTACTACAAATTCACTCCCCCATCCACAGTCTTGAAAGTCTCCCTGGAAGAGTGTCCCTGATTGCAGAAAGACCTCAACTTACCATTAACCTTCTTAAACATTCCATACATGTTCTCCAGGTAGTCATGGTCTAGAAACCACACAGTATCATCCTTGTCATCCTCATCAAAAGGTACTGGGAATAAAGCAAAATGTCAGTATTTAAGAATCCAACTTCCAGAATGAAAATGTTTCTAGAAACTGTGGTTGATGGTACCTGCAGATGCTAAAAGGCAGAGGATTTTAACCAGCTTCAACTGTTCTGCAACACTGCTGCACAAGCTCACCTGCAGTGCTGGCAGGTCACTCAGGCAGAGGCTGTCTCCTACTGACTCACACTGGACTGAGCAGTGAAATGCAAAGCCTTCTGAGGGCAATCCTCCATGGCCAACGTCAGCCACCAGTCAACCCTCCCACATGCAAAAGTGACTCAACAGCACGCACAGACATTTGATACGATCAGCTGAGTGCTGCTGCAGATTTCAGAGCTTGTTGATCAACAACAGCCTGCTTAGAAATTAGTTTCTGGTGTAAAACACACGTCATCAGCACTTTTGTAGACTGCTAGAACACCATGAGGCACTTTAAGTGAGGATATTTTACCCCTGAGTGAACAGCTAGTTATTTTGTCAGTCAGTGTGCAGACAGGTACAGGCTCAGTGCTGATACAAGGACTGGACTCAGCCTTTGAATTTACAGGTACAGTAAAAGCTTCACAACTGAAGGACTATGAAAATGATAAAGCCGCCTCTTTTCAACTCAAATGGAAGAACATTTTTCCAAAAATTGGAAAAAAAACCAACAGAGTCCACACTTGGCAGAAAAACTCCACAGAACCTATGAAACCCCACGTACAACCCAAGGTAATTTTGCTTTGCCACAGAGCAGCCCCACTGGGAAGGAAACGATGCAGCTGACACAAATGGGTCAGCAAGGCCTGGTGTTCAAGAAGTGCTTCTACAGTCCCAGCTAAGGAACTCAGGGGAAACTATTAACAACACACTCAAAAACTAGAAAGTAATCAGACAAAATCTGAGAAAAAGACATAAAGCTAAAATATACATTAAATCTTTCCAGAGGCAGGTAACAGCTGCCTCAGCACGGAGAGCTGTGATTTCGGGATGTGCTGAGCCAGGGATCACTCTGCAGAGGTCAGCAAGGCCAATGCAGCAAAACTGTCACTGGCATTTTTACAGAGTTTTATGTCCACTCCCCAAATGCTCCATATTGCACAATATTACAGGGAAGATGCAGCACAGGGCTGGCTGGAATGGGTGTATTTCTGACAGCCGTTAGCAGCTTTTGTTAGATACGGGTTGATTTGTGCACGGAGGGAACAATCTGTGCTCTGGCAGAGTGGCTTAAAAAAAAAACCCTAGTGCGATTCACCTATTTAAATAATTCAGTAGGTTCCAACGAGGGTAGGACACCCAAACTCACCTGCAAAACTGTTGGACACATCTAGTATCTTTTTCTGCCAGGAGCCCAGCAGCACACCAACGACTCGTTTCTGATTTCCAACTTTCCCTATTCTAAATGGAAAAGACTGTCAGTGCCCGCGACGGGGAGCCCGACCCGGGGGCAAAGACACCAGAGGAGCACTTGCTTCGCCCGCGTTCTGCGAGTTAGAGAGTGTGCAGGGCAGCGGGAGAAGAGGCGTTAGGATGGTTTCGCTACTGATTGTTAAGTTATACCCAGAAATAGGCGTTTCGGGGCCCACGGAATCAAACCCTGCAGCCCCGCGATGCCGAGAGAGGACTACACGGCCCCAGGGGCTAACGAGGGGGCCGCGGCCCAAGCCAAGCG